AGGTACTGTCACCTGATTGGCTGCTGCTGAGTGACTGACAGTTAGCGCGTTATCTGAATGGACCAATGGGAAAACATTTAACGGCCTCTCCTGCCTGAGGCTGTGGCGACCAATAGGAGAAGGTTCGGTTTTTGGTTTTGTTTTCTTGTTTGTTTTTTTTGAGTGAATGATGTAGGCAACCAATAGTAGGGGCGAGAACTAATGGGCGGGGCTTCACAGTTTGTGGACCAATCAGCATCTCTTATTCCCCCGATTCAGTATTTCTGCCCTTGGCTTCTCACCCCAGAGGGAAGAGTATGAACTATTGGACCAGGTCCCACCTGACTGGACCGGACCGGGCTGGACCTATGCCAGGTGGAGCCACAAAGTACCGGTTTTATTTCCTGTGGGCCCAGACCTGTTGGAATCGGTTCCGTCTGGTCAGCTGTGGGTCGAGTTTACTTGTTGTCCTGCTAGTTAGGTTTTTTTTTCTAATGTGGTTAAACCGGGTTTAGACTGGTTTAATCTGGTCCGGTCCGGTTCGGTCAGGACAATCCTGTTTATCGCCAATAATAAAAAAAAAAAAGAATAAAAAGGTCCATTTCTGCCTGCCTTCATGTCCTGACTGTTTTATTTGTGCGGAGACTTAAAAAAATAAATAATAAATGAAAATAAAACTCAGAAAATAAATTTAAAGTTCCTGTAAGCTGTTGCAACAACACTGTTTACATGCAGACATTCCCCTTTGACATCACTTCCTGTTTCTTCACATGCAAATATCTCAACAACCGTTCATCTCAGTGACATGAAACTTGTTTTGCAACATGTTATCAATGTTATCTTTCCAAAAATGCATTCATGTTTATTACTAAAATTTGATGCCACATGCCCTTTAAAATAATACCTTACTTTTAAACAGACAGCAGTTTGTTTACAATGAAACACTTGATTGGTTCAGATCAGATGAAGGTTAACGCTGAACAGGAAGGAGTTGAGAAATCTGCTTCCTGTTTAGAATCATCCTTTGGTGAATAAACTCTTGGTAACCTGCAGGTCATCACGACTCACTGTCCGGAGTGAGGAGATGCCTGCGATGACTCGGACTGTTGAGCAACACGGCAAAATATCATACAGATGGTGAAGTGGAGTTAAATAAAAAATTTAATACGTCAAATTCAAGATGGCTGCCACAGCTAAGTAATAATAATGGCTATACCTCCATCAGTTTTACAGATGTTGAGCTATAATTTGGTGTGGTAGTAGCTGATAGTCATATTCAACACAAACTCTGACGTCATACAAGATCTTTGAAACTATCAGGCAAGGATTGATAATTTTATTTTCTCTTCTTTTGATATTTTATAAAAGTTTTAAAGTAACAGCACATTAAGTAGATGTAAGATCTGTTTTCCACCAGCAGAGGGAGCCAGACTAAACTTCAATTATGATTTTTTTTAAATCCTTTTTTACATTTCAATCCTTCAKTTGTGTTTATATAAAGTGGATATGCAACTCCACAAGCCCCGCCCCTTTTTGGAGGTGTGTCTCAGGYTGTTGTGAGGATGTCTCTTTAAATCCAAACAAGGCGCCTCACTCACCACCCCCCCTCCAGCTCAGGCTGACGCCACATCCCCACAGGTCAGAATCAGGACTTCCTGTTCGTTGAGCTCATCTCTGATTGGCTGCTTTAATGAAGCAGAACTCGTTAAGAGAGTAAACAAACCAAACGATGCTCGTTGATCTGGTCTTTTAGCCACGGCTAAAGACATCGATGATGATGATTTTCCTCTTTGAAGCTCAGTGATGTATTCTGCTCTGATGGACCGACTCAGAACAGAATCCATGTCTGCAGAAACAGGAGACCAGAATCAGCTAAAACCTCCGAGTTATTACAGCTCAGGAGGATGGATGGATGGATGGTTGGATGGATGGATAATGGATGGATGGATGGATGGTTGGATGGTTGGATGGATGGATGCATGGATAATGGATGGATGGATGGTTGGATGGATGGATGCATGGATAATGGATGGATGGATGGTTGGATGGATGGATGCATGGATAATGGATGGATGGATGGATAATAGATGGTTGGATGGATGGATGGTTGGATGGATAGATGGATGGATAATGGATGGATGAATAGATGGATGGTTGGATGGATAATGGATGGATGGATGGATAATGGATGGATGGATAATGGATGGATGAATNGATGGATGGATAATGGATGGATGAATAGATGGATGGTTGGATGGATAATGGATGGATGGATGGATAATGGATGGATGGATAATGGATGGATGAATAGATGGATGGATGGATGGTTGGATGGATAGATAGATGGTTGGATGGATAGATGGATGTATGGATGAACAGTTGGATGGATGTTGGATGGATAATGGATGGATGGATGAATAGATGGATGGATGGATGGATGGATGGATGGATGGTTGGATAGATGGATGGATGGATGTATGGATGGATGGATGGTTGGATAGATGGATGAATAGATAGATGGATGGATGGATGGATGGATGGATGGATGGATGGATGGATGTATGGATGGACAGATGGATGGAATGATGGATGGATGGTTGGATGGATGAATAGATGAATGGTTGGATGGATGGATGAATAGATGGATGGTTGGATGGATGTATGGATGGACTGATGGATGGTTGGATGGATGTTGGATGGATGGACAGATAGTTGGATGGATGGATGGTTGGATGTAGAAATATTTATAAATCAGTTAATTTGGTTTGTTTGGAGCAGAACTCAGGTGTTTGATCACCTGTCACCTATCAGCCAATCAGAAGGCCTGGTTATAAAACATAAACTCAGAGCAGCTCTCTGAATGAGATTTAATTCATCAACAGTTGGTTTTCAGAGTTTCATGCTAAAATAAACAGGCTGAATGCTGACTCAGCATTTTTAAAACAGGAAGACTAAGAATCTCAGGTTTACACCTGAGACATCACATTTCTGTGTTTTTGTTTATTCTCTGGTAAACACTGTGTGTGTGTGTGTGGTGTGTGTGTGTGTGTGTGTGT